AATTATGAATCATCCAACTAATCAGAAAAAAAATGGAATTAACAGAGCTTGGACTTACTTTACAAGAATAACGGGACCAAGGTAGAATTTGAGAGCTGTCACATGGCGTACAAAAGCATGAACTTTCTCGGAGAATGGATTCTCACGGATGCGGAATGATTGCTTGAATAGGAAAAAAATTATGACAATTATGGCACATTTCAGTGGTAATGGTAGAATTAACAGGTACCGTGTACTTTTCACTATTCTTGTATTAGGTCCGTCCCATTCAAAATGTGGACACACATAGCAGGAAAGCAAAGGGGATAGAGCAGCGGGCTACTACACTGCTTGGAAGCTATACCTTAGCTATGTATCTGTGAAATTTGGCAAACCTAGCCACAGAAGTTCTCGAGAAATTGAAAAGAAGCCGAGTGGTGAAAATCAGCGCCGGATTTTCAAATCAGGCGTCATAAGAGGGAAGTGCGCTGCTCAAATTTGACCTGTGCCGGACCAGTAGTTGCGTGTAATGGTGTTCTCGAAATGCAAGGTGGAAGGTTCGGTTCAGGAGCCCGAAGAAGGAAGAAAGGAAAAAAATTGTTGTCGTGGATGGTCATCCTGTCCTATCCTACATCCTGTGATCTCCTGTATCCTGTAATATTCATCCTTGCACACGAAAAAAGTGGGTATGAGTCGAGCGCCCATTATCACCCATTATCACAGAGACCCCATTACCCATTATCATCACCCCCCATTACCCATTATCACAGAGCCTGGACCTTTGTCGAGCTTCCCCGTGAGACTGACATCCCTGCTGCAACTGCTGCCCGAGTTATGTCCGATAAACTGAGGATGGTCAAGAGGGTGTGGGTACCTAATTTTCTTGTAGAAACACGAACGCAGTACCTATTCTGTGCCTCTAGCAGTAATGTTCTCAGCATAAGATGTCATTCACGACTATGAAAACGCACCCCGGCCCTAGATGAAATATGGGTGGTCTTGAACTCCGAGCCAAACTCATAAGCGTCAGCGTCATATTAATTTCTACATTATGGCTTTAAAGCGGCCCCATGCAGAGAGTAAAAAATTGTCGCTATCGGTGTACATTGCCCGTTCCTCGCAATCAGATCGACAAACGGGCGGTACTATGATTAAACCTTCTACATTTTTGAATGGGATCACCAAATATTCTGATTAAATGACAAGTCTCTCAGATGGCGATCAGCAACAGGATACAACCAAACTTTCCGAAAGCCAATTCAAAGCTCGTACATTCTCACAAACGGGTTAGACAGACACCGAAAAATTGCTGATGTTACCTCATCGATTTGGGGGTAAGAGCATCCAAAGAGGTCCTGCACAAGTTGGGCATCGGACTGCGACGAAAAATAGAGATAAATAGCAGATCCCGCTTCAATTAGATAGATTCCATCTCTGTCTATGTACTCAAAAGACAAAGGTAATGGCGAAGGCCATTTTCCGTCCTCCAACTGAAAAAATTGGCTGTCTCACAAATCAAAAGAACACTACCCATAATGCAAATTTTACCTGCAGAATCTCGTTCAGTCGGTAAAGCTGAGGATAAAACTCAGAAAGAATTTGTTCCAAAGGACAAAATCGCAACACCAACATCGCAGCTACTCTGTCGTCTAATTTTACACTGCGACCAGCACAGAAGGATGTCTGCAATTGAAAATAAAATTCTGGTATTAATTGTATTTGGCGTAAAGATAAATATCAATGAATTCTCTCGCACCTCACATAATATAAATAAACGCCGACTTTCTCTTGAAATTTACGTAAATTCCATCACCTCAACTCTACCATATGTAATTTGCCACGCCTGTTTGTCTGTCCAGAAATTTGTTCCTACAGAAGAGTAACTCGGAAAAGTGGGGCTAAGGTTGGTATGGCAGGGCATGGGACAAGAAATTAAAGCACACGTGACCCGCACAAAGTTCGCCCACGGTAGGGCGAATGTAAATGGTGTCACAGACAGAAATTCATGATTCCGTTCCGGGGCAACTCAGAGACGGGGAGAAGCGGACCATGGTCGGCAAGGGGTTAACAGTCTAAGGGGATACAGTCGAAGTGGGCAGGGCTCTCACAAAATCCCTTTACATTCTGCTGATGTCCTAATCTCCTATACTCTTCAAGACATTGGCGAACAGTCTGACAATCTCCTGTTATCCTAAACTCTCTTGAGACATAAGCGGACGGGCGCCCATCAATACCGCCGCTTATGTCTCAAGAGAGACACTGTCCATGGCTGCATTCAGCCAACTGCACTATCGCAACGATATCGCGACGACGCGCATTGTTGCTACGACGCGCGTCATCGCGAAGTCTAAACGCTGCCTAATACCGATGAACTACTACATTACTGTAATAATCATGGATGACAATGAGTCGACTCAAGTCTAAAAATTTATGATAGGTCTTAAAATTTTGGCAAATGTAAGAAGTTTCTTGGGCATGACGTAGCTGTACATGCCAGTACACCAGGTTATAAGATTGATAATTCTCGCAACGTTTGCTCAGATTTCTTCAATGAAGAACTTATCTCACATGCTTCAGCATGGCGAGTGCATAAAGAGGGAACAGCCGCAAATGACCCTTTCGTGGTGCCAGCAGTCCACCAGGTCGGCCTTGTCGCATTGTCTTTTGATATGCACCAAGCGAATCGACGACAGCATTTACAATAGCCTCTCTGCAATCCGCTAGCGCGCATCCCGACATGGATCGATCAACTCCTGAAGAACGAAAAGTGAAACTTCAACGTGCTCAAATAAGTATTGAAAACTCACCAATTTTCGCTATGAGGGACACTGTGGCCTTCAAGTCAAAATTGTTGTAGACTTGGGCCAAATCCGCAGTTGTAGGTAGACACATGGTATGAACACGAATGCGACGATCTCCTGAAGCGACGATTCTAGATTCCGAAGTTGAAGAGATAGCAACAAACGTACCTTTGCTAGACGTATAAAGGAGAGCTGCTTGGAAACAGACAGTCGTCGACAATTTTTCCTCCATGCTTACCTTCAATGAACAACTTTTACGAATAGAAATTACACTGCTCCAAAAAGGATCTGATCACAAGTAACTACCTGCACAGCAATAGCTGAGTCTGGATTGACATTAGCGAGAGCAAGAAGGTCAGTAGATCGCACGAAGAAATTACCGTAGAACGCGGATAAACTGAGTCCTAGAAACGATTCCTTTCAGCACTCCTATGTTCACTCATTAATCAGGCATCGGTAGACTCAACAAACAACCTCTTGAACAACGAATTCTCAGAACTGCTTCAAATCCAATTTTTCGAGTAAGATATCGCGTGAGGA